CACGCCCGGCCGGCCGGAGCGCGGAGCCGACCCAGCACGGAACGCAAGTGAGTTTGCAGCCAGGAGGAGAACTCCAAAGGACAGAGCAGCCCCGGCACCGGCCGGCGAGAGCAGGAAACGGTCTCGTGCTCAGCGTTCCCCGGCGCGGCCTGTCCAGCACCAAGGGGCAGAAGCTCCCGCCCGGGGGCGCGTTCGGGGTACTTACACGAGAGAGCTGAGGGCTGCGGGAGCGAGATGGTGCTGTTGCCAGGCAGACACCTGCCCCAGGGACAGCATCCCCGGGGAGTTAAATCCCTGCAGGGCTGTCAGGTCTGCACTGGTCAAGGAGTAATCTGCCGGGGGAGAAACAGTACACAAGGCCGCGGTTTAGAGACTCGTGTGCATCTGCACCGACGCATACGCAGTCTGCACGTGAGAACGTGCACATGCCAGCGCACCACGCAAAGGCTTTCTGCCCAAAGTAACGGCAGGAGACCTGAAGTGGTCCAAAGGCGAAAATTCCGATGCCTGGGAGCAGCCCTTCTGCCTTCACAAGGAGCTTAACGGGAGATGAGCCCCCACGTGCCGGTTGGTTTCCGCGCTGCCACCAGCGCCTGTACGTCTCGCACGGCTCCCAAACTCACTTGTGCGCCTTCTGATGTGCCGCCCCTACGGCGGGACACCTGTTCGTGGTTCAGGTTTTAGTCTGTGCGGACATTTCAAAGTGACACCGAAGGGGAAGAATCCGCACCAGTCCTTACAAGGAACGGGGTTTCTTGCACCAGAGAGCCCCGCTGGTTCGGTTCTGGATGGGCAGCAGCAGTCACCCCGAGAGGCACATACCACCTCCACCCCGCGTCCCACCCCGACCAGGGTGACCGCGGGCCTTAGGGACGGCTCCGGGCACTCCGTCTCTGCCGTCCCGCTGTAACGCACCGCGTGCTCCCCCTCCCCGCTACAGCCTCACTGGTGACTCGTGTCTGGTTAAACCGGCGTCTCCGTAGCAAGGAGACAAAGGCAGCCCCTTTATTCCGAAGAAGAAATAAAACTGGTTAGAAATACAAGAGGAATGGGTAATACCTTCCTAACGACCGCTCCTGCCTGGCTGTCGCCCTGGGCGAGGCTCCGATGCTCAGCATTGCTCACACCGGGGAAGTGACTTTCACTTTATCACTCACCCTTTTCTTTCAGGTTTAAAAGCCACAAACACTTCTCTGCTTTTCATTACTTTGTAACTGAGCTGCCTCAAAACACCGTCTGGTCTCTGGAGGACCTGACGAGATGCTAGCAGCCGGACCCTTACGCTGCCAGCCCAAAGTTCTGTGCAAGTGGGGCTTGTGTTTCGCTTTGGTTTGGGTTTAGCCGTTCGTTTTTGGGGCTGGTTTCGTTTTGCTGGGTTTTTTTTGGTTTTATGTTGTTTTGGGCTTTTTTTTTTTTTTTGTACCATCCTAGAACGACCCCACCGTTACGATTTCTCTCTCCAGATAAGCTTCCGTGAAGCACCTCCCTGTTCCCACCCGCCCTGCGTGCACAACTCACAGGCTTTTAATGCCCTGCAAGGGCGGGAGAGCCCCGTGCCCGCAGGGTATGGTGCTCCTCCGAGAGGGATACGCAATCCCTGCGGGAATCTCCTGTGAGCCCCCGCTGCAGCCCAGCAGGTGAAGCCCCTTCAGCTGCCTTTCTGTTGGATTTCTTCTCAGCTGACGTTGGTCTGCGACTCCGAACGCCCCCACAAGGGTTTCTGCACAGATCCCGAGAGCCTTTCCCAGGCTGGTCACCCCAAAGCCCTTTGGCAAGAGGAAAATCAAACCCAACAGACCGACACAGCCCTGCGATGGGCAGGACACGCCCCCGACCTTCGGGGCAGCCAGGCCGCTGCCAGCGCTCCAGATGGATGTGCCGTTCCGTCGGGGAATTCTGCGAGAGCAGGCCTGAAGAAAGTAGTTACAGGAATCCAGTTTCCGTGCATTTCTGCTCTTTGCAATTACAGCCTTTGTGGTAACGGAGAATTAGCTGCTGGTTCTTTAGACGGGTGTGAGGAGGTGCTGTTGCGAAGCACTGCCCGCAGCGATCAGGACAGCGCGAGCGGCTGAGGCAGGATGGGAAGGGCGGCCGGACACCGCTCCTGCTGCGGCCCTGACGAGCACCTGAGACGTTTGTGCCTCTGCAGGGTACCCGACCCCAAGCCGGCAGCGGGATGCACGGCTAGGTGAGCCCTGCCCTTCACTGGTCTCTGTGGGGTCCGAGTGTTGTCTGAAATGCTCCGACTGTTCTAGAACAAGCGACTCCGTGTGTTCCGGCCCCTCCTCCGGTCACCTGTGGAAAGACTGCTTCTCCGGGAAAGCACATTCTAGAAAATGGTCTGTTTGTGCAAAGCTGATGTCCGGTGTTTTAATTAAGGATCTAAGAGCTGCATCTGTCCCTTCCAGCCCTGAAAAAAAGCCTTATAAATCCAGAAAAACAATTTAGGTACCTAAATTCTACGTTAGTCTGTGAAGTGCAGAACTCAAGTTGCCACCTAGGTGGTGCCTACCCTGAGAATACCCGGATGGCGATCTCCTTCCCACATCAAATTCCTTTTTGCAAATCCCCTGAAAGGCTCAACCTAACAAACAGTTTTGAAGTGTCTGACAAACACCGGAGGCTGAAAGCTTTTCACCAATCACTGCGTTATCGAAGGAAACGGGCTGGTTTTGTAAACCCTATCGCAGTGGTCGCTTGTCTCTGCGGAGACCTGGACTGCAGCCCCTCGCATCCTCCCGACGGCTCAGCCGCCAGCTTCTGGGTTATCCCGGAGGAGGGACGGACAGCACCGCGTCCCCAAGCGTCGGGCTGCACGGGAGAAGGGAGGGATTTCGGCAGGGGACAGGAAGACTCGGCGTGGGTCTTCGGAGCAGGGACACCGCTCCTTGCTCGCTCGAAGCAGCCGCTGAATGCGCTGTTATAAACCACTGCTGGGGCACGTATCCAACCGAGATCTGGATGTCCAGCAGATCCAGAGTTGAGCTTATAATCCAAAGCAAGTCACGGAGCACAATCCTCCCCTCCGCTCATTACCCTGTTACTGCAACCCCATCCTCTCCTTCCTCCAGATCTTCAGGCTTTGTCCCCCTCAGGGTGGCGATTATTTGCACAAACGTTCAGCTACTTCCTTGGATGCTGCCGCAGGGTAACTATTCCCAGTCCCTCCCCAGGGGCAGACTCCTGCACGGGCAGCACCACCCCAGTTAAGAAGCCCATCAGCGCAGACAGGTACAAGTGCAGAAGGACTGCGGCCTGTGGCTGGGAGATGGATGGCTCCGAGTCTACAGCAAACGCCTAGTGCTGGCTTTCAGAGCTCAAAAAAGTGGAGAAAACGTACAAAATGACCCCTCTTTCATGGGGAAAATGATTATGAACAGGTGGCTACTCTGTTCTGTCTTCCAACACTACAGACTCCTGACGGCACCCCTCCTTGCAGAAAACAAAATGACAAAGCCTCTGCATCACTCCGTTTTAGCCATCTTCTACAAACCCTGAGGGTGTTTCTGCGTTTGTCCCACCCTCTGCACCGGAGTCGGCACATCAGGTCACTGACAGAAGAGCAGCGCTGCATTTTTTACCCTTTCTTAAATGTATCACCCCAGAGGCACCGACTGGTGCTGGGCTCCGCTTCGGGGAGCAGCTTCGGAGCCGAAACACGCTGGGGCTGAGGCTGGGGCAGCTCCTGTTCTCAGAGAAGCCACCCCTGCAGCACGCGCGTCCCCGCCACAACCTGACCGTGCCACGTACACCCAACGCCACCTCCGCAAGGAAAAGCGGTTTATTCCTTCCCAGCACGCTCTCCGCTGCCTCCTCCGGGTTGCTGAGCATCCCATGCTCCCCTGCTGCTGGTGTAGGATGATACAGGCTGAGGGCAGAGATGCTGCTGGGGAACCTCCTCTGCTGGAGACCGGGATCTTCCTAACTTCCCAGGAAGAAGAATGCTCTCAGCCCCTTCTGCCTAGCCAGGGTCCATCGGCTACGTGTAGCTCTGTGCCCCAGAGCCATCGCTGCGGGACGGCAGAGCAGCCTAAGCACTGCCAATGCAGTGGTGCCCCATTCAGAAATTCCCGTTTGAACAAATGACAGCACTCAGATGCAAATGCCTTAAACTAGACTTCATCTAAACAGAACAGCAACTGGGGAACTGCCTTTGTTTTCCTTTTTGGCTTTAACCAAGAGCTACGTTAGCGCTGACGTACAAAATTCATCGACACTGCTCTGCGCTGTGCAACTGAAAATCCAGCTGTGCACCCCAGACGGACAGCAGGCCGCCCCACGCCATCACGGCTGCAGCCTTCGAGGGACCATCACAAGAACAACTCCCTGCTTACACACGGGCCTGTAACACAACGAACCTGAGACTGAGGGCGGAATTCTCCCTCTGGTCTGGAGACGGCGTAGGAAGCACCACATCACAAACTCCTTTCCCAACCAGCAACCAACGAGCACTTACAGTACCAAACTCCCTGCATCACGCCCATCTCGGATGGAAAGTGGTTTCAAGGTCCTTCCGGTAACGGCGACCCACCGCGGCGGAACGCCGCTCTTGACGGAACACTGAAGAGAGCCGGCCCGATCCCAGCTGGGCTTCTCCTGTAAATCCAAAGCCCCGCGGGACGCGATTCCTTCCTGCTGCTGGAACTGAGCGGGGCAGAACCGAGGGGACAGCACGCTCCGAAGTACCAACCACGGCCTAAACGGGAGGCGTTTCAGCGTGGGATGGCGAGCGGGACTGCGGCTGCCAGGAGCAGCGCGGCACGTCTCTGCGCAACCTGACTGAAAGCTTCTTCCTGACCTAAGTCTCAACACTGACACATTTTTCAAGCTAAAGGCTCGTTTTTGATGAGTCAGCCTTCGTTTCAACGGAGAGTAAAGCGTCACAGGAATGCTAATTTTCTGGGCTCCCGAGTCACAAGAGCCTGGCAGCTCTGAGAAACGGCTGTGTACGAACAAGGCTTACCAGTGTTGTAGGCGGTCGGCATGGCCGAATACACCAATCCCTGCGGCGGCAAGCTCGGAGTCGTCACAGACACCACAGGGGTAGCGAGAGGCTGTGTAGACTGAGAACTACTTATCCTTTGGGTATTCTACAAAGGATTAAAAATAACATGTCTTGTGATATCAGCTAGAACAAGGGAAATCATGTGCGAACATAAAAGCAGCGTTCGATTAAAAGGTGTTTCTGTGCTCTGGTTCTTAGTCACCAATACACCCTTTTTGTCAGCGCCCATTTTCTCAACAAACCGCACGTTTCAAGACTCAACCAAAACGATCTTGGACAAACTCGAATGAAAGCGTAACGAAGGCTTGCCGATCGGCTTCCCGTGCATGCAGATTTCTGCAGCGTCAGAGTCGTAGGCCATAAAAAGAAACACAAATTCTTCGGGACAGACACAATTCTCAGAAGTTCTTAAGTGATTTAAGAGGTTTTGGTCTTATTTTTCTGAAGTGCAGATGCTGCGGTGCAGTTCCACCAGAAAATTCCCCCATTTCCCAGCTGTTTATCCGATTTTCAAAACTGTAGCTGCCCGTTTTGACACGGAGCTGACTACGCCTGTCCTGAAAGGAGCAGAGAGACCTGCATCTGTGTGGGTACGGCCTCGGCGATGAAACGATCTACCTGCTCCCACGGTTCCTGAGGAACTGGGAGTGGAGTTGCTACGGTGCAGGGGTGTCTCAAATCGAATGACACTGGAGTTCACAGAGCAACTGTGCTTTTTGATGGGAAAACCAGCTAAACCACACTGTCTCAGACCATCCGAGCTAACTGCGGGCACGACGTGGCTCTGTAACAGCACTCCGTCCGGCCCGTAGCCCGGAATGAACACCTGGGGCACACACATCACCCCAATTAAGCTCTTCAGCCAAATCTGCTGGTTAGTGAACCTGGTACCAAACGCTGCGGTGAACGCCAGCGGACAGCACGCCGCTCTGACACAGAGCGGACAGCTCCTCACGGGGGAAACTCTGAATCTCCTTCAAAATATGTCGTTCAACGTCATTTAGCCATTCCAGATGCTGTCAACAACAGGAAATGCTACTTTTTAAGAAAAAACCCCAATAGACACAGAGTTTTGTGTACAAAGTTGTAAAAATACTGCAAGTAGTAGAAGTCTCTCCACCCTCTATCTCTACACTCTTACAGAACCAATGTCCTGTTAAGGGAGCTGGATTTGACTGGTGAAAACCCAGTTTTAAAGCAAGCTTCCCTCTACCTCTGAAACAGCATTTGCTATAGAAGTAGCAGTTTTTCGTCTCCCTGGTAGAGTTCCATAAGCTTTAGTGGATTCAAGCTACTACTACCTTTTCCTGACCTCCGAGGTACACAAGTATTTCGGTATCCGCAGAGCGCTCTTCTTGCCCACCGCGAGCAGTGTTAAACACGCACCATTCCCTCCGTAACAACGCAACGAGCAGGTGCAGGAACATGGCTCTGTTCCATCCGGAGCTTCAACTTCAGCTGATGAGTTGAGGGCTATAGACCCCGGGCTCGTGTCTCCCCCACGTGAACAGAGTTGTGTACCACCGCTACCAGATTAAAACCAGCGGCAACCTTCCGCCGGCTCCCAGCTTCCCTTCTGTCTGGCTGCTGCCAAATCCCACCTTTCAGCCTCCTGAGAATCCGGAGGCTCTTCGGCATTTGTTCAGCAGATGCGCCCCCTCTGCTCCAGCGCTCCCGGATTTCAAAGCCTTAAGTCACAGCGCACATCCCGCTGATTTTGGGTGTCCTTTACCCCTTTAAATCACTTAGGCACTTCTGAAAATCTCTGCTAGACCAAGTTCATCTGGCATAAAGATGCGTTATTAGAGCAGATTTTGTGTGTCTGTCAGGAATTGACCTTTTTCCAAAGCCTTCTTGGATGGCAGCCTATAAAGTTGGGATTACTGTAATGGAAAAGTTAGGAGTGTACTGGGAAACAGTCCAGACCAACGGATTTCCCCACGGGATTGTGTTTTTTTTTGAGGTTTTGTTTTTTTTTTTTGAGTGGCTAATAAAGGTGGTTTTTCTGAGACAACTAATTTCTGATTATAATTCCTGAACACCATTCCAAGACATTAAGAAATATTCAGATGTGTCTCCTGCTTGTTTAGCACGGAGATTCAGCCAAAGATTCAGGGCAAATGTCAAGGGGTTTTTATTATTCCTAAACTGGTGCAGTAGCAGGAGGAATTCAATGTGTTTGTTTCACACTGTGCTACCGCTGCTATCCGGGTTTCGTATCCAGTGCTGAGTTCCAACCACACAGAACAAGTGTCCACGGACACGATCCGCAACTGCTTTCCAGCACTGGAATTCGCACCAAGGATCGGCGTAAGAGACGTGAGGCTGCAGGTTTGCTTCACGTCCCTTCACCGCCCCGGAGGAAGCCACCACGACGTTTTCTTTGGGTGAGCTCTCCTCCCCCGACAGACGACCGGGGTTAAAGCCACTAGATGGCCCACGCTCCATGCGGGATCCATAAACCATCAGCCGTCCTGCTATTCCCTATTGAGGGCTGGGAGGAATCCCACGCTCCAAGGGCTTTTGCGTTCATCCCCAGTGCAACGGGCGGGTTAGTGTTGGATTAGGGCTTTATTCCTTGCACTGGAAAGCAGACGGATCTCTATAAAGGGGAGAAGAAGGTGCGTGCCAGCTGTTTAACAAGTCATTCCAGTAACCCCACAAACTGCAGTACTGACTTCCAAAAATCATTCCCCCTTATTTCGGTAAATCTATTGCTCACATTGAAGGTAAAAATCAACCAACAGCATGCATTCATCAAGAAACTTATCTAAATCACTACATTTTTCATGCTTTCATGCAATTAGAGCCTCATCCTAGCAACAGGTCCATGTTCCAAACCAGATCAAGGAATGCAATAGGGGGGTTTCTTCATCCTTACAATCGCACCCTGATGCGGCATCTTCTGCGTGGTTTGTGCTAAACCATTTGCAGATTGCTCTAAAAACAGGAATTATTTTAGCCTTACGTTGTTTTCCAGAGAGAATGCCAAACGTTAAAACCTTTTGGAAAAAAAAAAAAATAGAAAAAACACCCCCAATCCCCAGAGTTTCCTCTCAAAAGCAGAATATCTTTCCGCTGGAAAAAAGGTAGAATCGTTCATTTGCAATTCTCGGTTCCTTTTGGTAAACAGGGAACACCCCTGTGGTTTGATAATCTCACGCAGGATGAAATAATTCTAAGCCCCAAGAAGGTGACCTCACCAGCAGTGATGTAATCTCCTTGCAAACAAGAGACGTACCACAAGGCTCGCGTCCCAGTCTGAGCAACTTCGGAGTGAAGCCACCTTCTAAAAATATTCCGGTAATTTTGGGGATGATAAGCAGTTATTTATATTTTCTCAGAAGCCAGTAAATACCCTACACACATGGACAGTTACTCTGTAAGGCTCTTTTCCAATGTTCCCTCCAAGAAAAACAAGTATTTTCAGGAGACAAACCCCAGAAGTTTACGGATGGCAAGGCTAGACTTTGGATGTGTTTTCAACTTGAATCGGTCGGGGTTTTGGGTTTGATAAAACAAACGTATTTTTGTCTGCTACCAAGGGAACACTGGAATTATTTAAAATATGTAATGGAACTACAGTTAAAAAGCTGTAGTAAAAGACATATTCAGCATCTTGCTCTCTCTCATCAAACAGTAGCCCAAACTCACCAACTCCAATTCATCCTCCTCCGACTGTACTCGGCAAACAAGAGGGATAACACAGTTACTAAAAATAGCATTGCTTTCAAAAATGAAAGAAAAAGTCACATTTGTGCTTCAGGTTCTTTATTTAATTAATAATGTGAATCTGCCACCTGATTCTGTAAATAATACTACGAGGATGCACAATAATTTACGTAATTCAGGTCAATTAAAAAACACCGTACTGAAAGAACACGCGCTTTGGCAGAATCAGTGCAGAAAGAGCTTAGTAAAAACAAGGACAGAGCTACACACTGACAACACGCAGATAGGGAGCACAGCAGCCTCTGGCTGGACAGACCCAATAAACATCCAGCTCAGGAGCAAAATATTTTCCCCACACAACCATCGGATCGTCCCTGCACCTCTACATGGAGATCTCTTTCCAGCGTTCTCAGAACGACTGACAAAACCTGAACTGAGTATTAAGCTGTTCTTAACACAGCAGTAACTAGGTACAGTATGCTACTGCCTCTAGAACAACTGCATAAACAAGACCCTCTGCTTATATCTATTTCTGATTAATTTAAAAGCGTCATTTTCACTGTAATACTCAGCCCGTCTATTTCCTGTGTCTTCTACACTTCAGCATTCCTAGAAAAACCTGACACTTCAAGAATCATTACACTGAGGATAATTATAGCTTTTGTTACTTGGATTAATTTTGTGTTATTCATCACAACACCAGTTACAAGCACTTGTGGCATTTAAAAACAAATAAGCATTACAGAGAGTGTTTGTACTTCTTATATCCTGCTCCCCTTGGTTATGGTTCATTCTTCCATGAAGAATGAACAGAGAATGTACACACCGGCGTTTCAAATTTCTACCTGACAGTGAAGGGACTCAGACCAAAGGATCTGGCCAACCAAATTAAAGGGGGAAAAAAAAAAGAGTAGCTTTTCCTGAAAGACCTGTTCTGGTCTCCATGCTGTGATTGCCTCACGCCTGACGCAGAACGCGTGTGCTATTCCAAATCTAGGCCGAACAAACATTGCTGCCGACATGCCAGACTGCACAGTAGTTTTGAAAAGGGCACCAATAGGGACTGAGCCTGACCCTCTCTGCTCTTTGATGCCTCCGCTGAAAAGACGACACCCGCCGCGGGACACACGCGGCTGCGTTCCTGCACACCACATCAGACAAGCACTTCCCTCAGACCATCGTTACCGCTGAAGCTACGTTTTACATCCCACAGCCATTACGACCCAGGAAAAACAGGTACAAAGCATGCTTTAGGGCATGTTAATACAGTCCACATCACCAATAAGATCACAGCCATTCCTCCAGGGAAGACTACGCAACCCTTTTTAAAACCCACATCCTCCAAACCAACAGGGTGCTCGGTACCAAGTCAGCGGGATGTCAGACCAGAACAACATCCCCGTCTGTGCTCCAGGATTGCACTCAACTGCACTGAGGTCAGACTGCTACTCTGCACTTAAAAATCCTTCCAGATTTAACTTCTCCCAGGGTAACAACTTAGATTTTCATGGGTGAAATTTCAGAACACCAACACCTTCCTATCGCTATGGTAACCGCACCAGACAGTTTCTCCCCGTGCATACGGACAAAACATTTTCACAAAGCCAGTCACAGAACAAACGTTTGAACTTACCAGTGGTGGCATCATACCCTTGCTGGAGGGAGGGATGACAACACGGAGGTCGGGTTTGCGACTGTTCATTCCAAGATTACCTCCTCCAGGTGGAGGCGGAGACTTTGTAGGCATGACTTTGCCTAAGCCATTCCCACCACCAGTAGTTCCCAGTAGACTTGGTGAAGCTCGGGAATTCACAAACCCATTTCCTGAGGAAGGACAAACACAGGTAGGTGAGGCTGAAGAGAAGCAGCAATGCCAAACTTGGGTGCAGGTGTACAAATTAGGAAACGCGTGTTTTGTAAAACGTGCGATAACGAGCTCGCGAGAGGCGCAGTACCAAGTAACTGAGCCAACAAAACCCACCGTCACCAGTAGATCAATACGCAACGGTAGTGTCACCGCAAGGACACGCGGTGGCAGCTGAACGGCTGAGAAGAGCACACTGCCAAAGAACTACTTCTAATGACATCTGCTGTGCTTTTTTTTTTGCCCTTTGAAGTTCCTCCAGGCTGAGCCTGCAGAAAAGCCTGTGCTTTTGCACAACCCCGCTTCATCCCCACCCCCCCGGAGCATGCGCTATGCTGAATTGCTGCCTGCGAGACTAAAAAAATCAGCTCTTACAGCCTCTCTTTATGAAATGTATTATTCTTCTGGTATCTTCAAGATCTGCAGGGCTGCAGCATCTGTTCTCTAATAATGTTCGTTTCAGCCTCACAAATACACATGGTCTGATTTAGCAACAACGAGGGGAACAAATCCTTTCCCTTCACATTCATTCCAAGCTCTGCACACAGACATCCACGTCACTTATTTGCACCAGTCTTTCTCCACCTTCCTCCCCATACTCATTCTGAGTAGACTGAGACAAGCCAAAGCCGACAGATCCTGGCTTCAGCACCGAAACCTCCAAAAGCCAAAAGAATGTGCCCCAGGGACAGGCCTGAGCTCACACTCCAACCGCATCAGCGCACAGTAAGACACGTGCCCAGCACCCTCCTTACCTGCACTGACAAAACCACCAATCGTGTCAACCAACGTATGCTTCTCAGAGAAAAAAAAAAAAAGCCACATTCCAATGATTTTATCGTATTTATAGCGACTATTCCCAAAATACACACAACTTATTCAGCAGCAAACAAAAATAAATGGTTAAGCGAGGGGAATTTCACAACGGGGAACCCTACGGTTCACACTACAGCACTTGTGTGTGTCTAAATAAATACAATTCGTGGTAAGATTATGTTTACACTCACACTGCAGTTCTGAAAGCAGCCTTTATCTCACAATTCAGGGAAAAAGCCCTTACACAAAGCTCACTGTGTGGGAAATTCTCTTCTAATAGCCTGTAGCGCCATAAGGGCATGAATTTTATATTATTATTCCAATTGGAATAGGCCCCTATGCCCAATCCAATTTTATTACATTAAATACATATTAATCTAAAAGCAATTAAAATAAGAAAGTTGTCAGTGTCACACTCCACCTTCTTCAGCAAAACTTTAAAGCCTTTACAACGAGATGTATCCAACCCTTCAGGAAGGTGACTGATGTTGAGGTCCTGGGTGTCAATTCCCCAGGATGCTCGAACGAGGGAGCCCCCTCCGCTACCCCTGACCCGTGGTACATGGGAGGGGGGGCAGCTGCCCAATGCGGCCCTCACGCCCCCGCCACACGCGGAACCCTACACGCTGCGTTAACTTCGAAACGGGAGCAGCGTGGGTAGCGGAAGACTTCTAACAAGAGCCTGGTGCTGTCTACTGAGCTTTGCAACGGTCCTTTGGAGACACGACTTACTCTTAAGTATTTTGAAAGAGAAAAATCGCGAGTAGGTAGAACCTTCCTGGAATTTCCAACCACAGCAGTCTTGTTCGCATATCCACGAGCAGTAAATTCACCACTTTAAAGCCAGGATTTCAAATTCCGGATTTACTTTCCTTGTGGATTTCCTACTGTGCCAAAAGCCTGACCACACATGGATGATCTGATACGCCCCTCGAGTTTTCCAAGGTTAACAGAGCAAGGAGGAGTGAGTCTAATTTAGTACTTTCCCGAAGCATTTGTATGGGAGGTGTGGGAATATGCTGTCTGAGAAATCTACCTTTTAACTCAGAAGTTACTGGGGAAAGGGGGAACAGAGACAGCAGAAAGAAGGAAATGCTATTTATGGCAGCATTCTGCCTTCTGTATTAAAAACTGCAGCAAAAAGTCATTTAGTGATTAAACCATCCACATTCCTCAGCAGAAAACAGCAGGATTCATTGGGATGCTTCTAGGTTAGTGATAAAATATAGTTGAAGTGGCCGAAAAGTTGGCCTGGAGCTGAGAATACACACTAGAGCCAAGTATCCAGCCACAGCTAGGTCCCATAGAAAACCGACGAGAAATTCAGTTCCATGCTGCCCCTAAGGTTCCCCAATCTGTGAGACAGTTTTCACAGAACCATATTTTGTTAAATACAGTTATGCATCAACACCTATCCATTACTAACGAGTGTAAACATCAGTTATGGACAGCCTACACAGCATCAGACTCCAAGAGAGATCTTGCATAAGGGAGAGCGTGAAACTTAAGTGGATTTGGAAACAGATGTGAGGGAGGAAAAATTATTAGACAATAGCATAATTTTCACCAAATTATATTTAAAAAAATGGTTTCAGTATTTTCCATTTTCAGCAAAAATGCCAGAACATTTAAATTCTTACCGTTATAAAAAAGCCTGGGCTTTAATGTAATAATAAATAGGGATTTATCACTCACATGGCTGTCAATTTTACCTTTTGAAAGCCAAAGTGGCAGTGCTCCGAGCTGAATTTAAGCTTCAGAACAATAACACTCTGTATAAACAATGGAGTTCTGTACAGCATTTCAGTCTATCCTATGATCCCATTTCCTGTCCTCTTGTTTGCAAGTATTTCGGTAGCTCGTGTGTTAAATCTGGACAGTGTCTTTCTCCCACACCCAATACAGTCATTTCCTGCAGCCCTTATTACAAGGCTCTGCCAACCCTTCTGAAATATTTCATGCTTTTAGTGGTGCTGTCAAACCCAGCAAACTCCCTGCCACTGCCTTCTCTGCACAGCATCATTCGGCAGCAGGGCAGGGTCCGAGCACTTGTTCTGACAAAAGGCCCAGCGTCTCTAAAAAGGAGTGTTTAGAAAAAAAATATATTAAGAATGGGAGAAACAAAGCATCACAAGTGCGCAATGCTACGGTTATTAACCCAAGAGCTATAAACAGTGTGCACTGAACATTTAGCAAACACTGGAGTATCTGTATCGATTATCTGAAGAATCATATGGCTGGGGCTGCAGTAAGATTGTAGAATATTCATTTTTAATATGAAACCTAAAGCCTTTTTTCCTGTTAATAATCTAATAAGAAAATCAAATTACAAGTTAAGGGTGAAAGGATAACTAAAAGCATGGTATTTCTTAGAGTAAGGTCAGGAGCCAGAAAAAGATAATGATTACAGGATGATGCAATGATACGGCAGTTTGCCAAACTGAGGCTTTAATAACTCCATGAATTCTACTTACTACTTTGTGTAATACAGAAATGGTATCTACCCCACCCACTACAGAGCTTCTCCAAAGTCAATTACTTTATGTTTAAAAATACAACAAACTGAAAAATGGAGACAATCCTACAAAAGTGTAAAATAAGACTACAGTTTTTACTTCCATCAGAACAGTTTTATTTAATTCTTTAACGCAGACTGTGAAAGCATGTCCGAAACACCCCTTTGGAAAGCAGACACCAGTGTGAAGATGATAAGCTCTCACTTCTATGAATCAATATAATCAGACTTGGTGATAACAAGCACTGCCAGCGTACGTTAGCCTGCTTCTTGAAAAGTAAACGTTTTCTGACTGAACAAGTAACATCTTTTCTGACACTAAATGTTAAACCCCACCCATTAACAACTGCATATTCTGCCTTCAGAAACGTAATACAGCTTAATCTCATTCACTGTCCTGCAGCCCACGACGTAGCATTCAATTACACGTACTTCACCATCTAAATCGCATCAGCTGAAACAATGAACACACGCGGCTGGACAGTACCCCACGTACTTGTTACTACTCAGGGAGTAACTGACAGTCACTGATGCCATTAATCTCTTTTTGTGCTTCACCTTTGGAGAAACTGAAATTAGACACAGTTTTGGAAAATAATTGTGGGGGAGCAGCTAAGTAGTGTAAGATTAAGGAAAGATAAGAAAGGTGGTAAATAAGTATTTATGCCTCAAATAGCTCATCATACAACCCAATCAGTGTCACAGAATTAGAAGTAAACTGGAAATCGTGTTTGCATAAGCCATCGAGTCACGCTGCATCTAGAAGACCAGGTACAATCTACGGCAGAAAAACATTTTCATGCAGGACCTTGTGGTGGGGGGAGGGTGACAAGTAAGTAGTAATGGCATGTGCATTCGTTGCTCAATTTCTTTACCTTTGAGAGCTTTAAGTGGAAATTAAAAGAAAACCAAGACACTACCAAACAAAAAACCCGACACACACCAAACCAGCGTATGTTGTTCACACCACTTTCAGCTTTGTACAGAAATCACAGCTGATTCTACGTGGTTTCAAAAGAGCCTAAGTTCCTGCTAGTGCTAGAAAGAGTTTACCCTTCAACAACTTCTTCCTTGGAGAAGGGTGAAGAGCTGCCTGGTTATTTACCTGCCTAATCTTAAAGGGCAAAGCAAGGCAAAACGTTACGCCAACACTACTGACATCACAGAGCAAGGACCTTCGTCCACTGCATGTGGCAACATCAAACCCCTTTCAAGAGCAGCTAGAAGTGAGGAGCTCCGTCTAGTGAAACACTACCCGTGGCAGATCCTGCCCGTCACACTGAAGAGACGGTACAGCAGACTAGAAATACCACCAGCCACACTTAACGTTTGGGATTTTTAAGCTGCTTTCTTAAGGTGGTTGTCTGCAACAAGAGTGCCAAGTTTTTAGCTGATGCAGTTGACACAGGCTGGTGAGTTTGAGAGTCGGGGTGGAGGGAGAAGCCTGTTTTGTTTAAGGAAGAGGCTGATAGCATCAATCCAGTTCCAAGCAAAATTCCTGCAAGAGGTATGTTTTTCCAGAGTTAGTTGGGTACTTCCCAGTGTGATGTCTCTCATTTTAACAAAACAACATGAATAGAGAGGCATGCACGGAAAGCTGTTTCACTACTGAAGCCTTCTGGGGTACTCAAGAATTGTGCCACATACCCGCCTGACTTAGACTTGTGAAGGACCAAGCTGAAAGATTCTTCTACCCTCAGACAGGCAGAAAGAGCTCTCCCGATCAGCCAAGCCCTCAAGACAAAGGGAACCATTTACAGGTGTGGCTTTTCACGGTCGTGATCCCTTTCTGGCAGCATACAAGCAGTTTACGGGTGCGTGCAAAGTGTCAGCTGCACGTCTGCGTAATCCTTCCTGCGGCCAGGATAAACGATTACACGTGATCTACACTGGCTCTCCACAGAGATCCAATGGCTCACAAGACCGGTTTTCAGCCAGGTATACCCTTCAGCTCTATTCCAAAGAAATTAAATATTCCTAGGGTTACTCCACATTCCCAGAACCTGAATGAGGACATTAGAGAAGATACAGCTCTGGAACAAAGAGGAGAAATTGAGTACTCAGGAAGACTAGATCTTTCTTATCCATTCTCCTGATGACAAAATTGTAAGAGGAAAGATGATTTCCCAGAAGATTAAGTGGCTCCATAATCTGTACTACTGAGCAGAAGGGCTACTTCACTGTCAGAGAAACATGCAGACAGCGAACATTGTGACCTTATGAGATCATAAAGAGCCTCCACTTGCAACAACTCCTTCAAAATCACCTCAGACTGGGAAGAACTTAGGGAACTCAGCCGAAAGACCTCAGGGTTTAGGGTTTTCATGCAGCCTTGGCGGCAACAACAACCAGCCGGGTTCTTTGCACGGTTCCAGCTCAGTGCCATACGCAAAAGGGATGGGAGGAAGAGTGGTACTTCTGTTGAGCCTTTCTGATTCTCCAAGTCCTCAAGGATGGGACAATGCCCCTGGAAGTGACCCTCACTGGCAACCTCTGCATGATTCCAGGTACAACACCGGATCTACTGGAACGCACTGAAGCAGACCTCATGACAAATTTAAGGTGATCCATCCAGTCCTTGCAGTTCAGAGTCAAAGGAACTCTGCCCTGCGTTTGGGTACTCAGCACCAATGAGGCAATACGTGGCTTAATTAGAAACCACAGCCTTTGGGAAGGAGTAAAGCAGACGTGCAGCGTGTGTTCAAGCCAGGATGGTGTTGACGACAAACAGCAAGCTGTACACATCCTGGTGATAGGAGATTCCTGAAGCGTATTAGATGTCCATCACAAACTGAACAGGGTTTAACACTGACCGTGGGCAACAGTACTGTGAAATTCTAGCTCCAAAACATTCGAGCTAATTAACAGAAAAAATAAATTAGCTCAAAAGCCAACACTGTCATAATTCTGGACGTCTTTCCCTTCTCAAAACTCGTATGCTTGCCAACTAAAAATTTTCAGCAAATGTTTTTTTATATGGTGGGTGAAATTTTAAAAATATTACAAAATAAAAATGCCTTTTCAGAGTTAGGGCAGCTGCACGTGAAATAGGCTCTCGGTATTATAAAACGATCACAAAATTTTCTCTTCTAGACATAAAGAAACACCTACCTATCTTTGCTACGACATGCAGATATTTTTACTCGGTGTTATTTTCCACAGAAGAAGTGTTAAGTTGGCAGATTGACTGCTAAAGCAAATCATATCTATTGCAACCATACACAGGACTTGAGAAAAAGACTCGTGAACTACGTATGAGTCGTTTTATGCAACATCTTTGCTTGAACCCAGTCCCAACTATGCAAGATAACCTTTACTTGCTTTTTACTCAGAGATAAAGGGGTGTGAGTATATTTCAGTGAATTGAGAACAAATCTCAAATGCTTAAAACTTCATAACGTCAAGTAAGACTTGGGTTCTTCCTCTGTCTATAAGAAAATACCTGGCAATATGGGTATGCAGTACTCCATCTTTATCTCTGACAACTGTCCTATAAACTGTGAGCTGCAAATTAGACATGAGACCTTTCACAACTATATCCATAGGAGAATTCTCCATTCCTGAGAAGTTTAAAAGAAAAGATTGAAAGCTAAACGAAGAATTTTTTTTAAAGTTAATTCTACAATATATGTAGCAAGAAACTAAACCCACTGTTCTCTGCAGACATAATTAACTTGATATACACACTTCAACATCAGCTGTGAAGCTCAAATTGACAAGTGAGCAGATTTACTCAATCTGGTTATGTATGGTTTCTTGATTTTCATTGCAATTCAGAAGATTCCTGTGCACCTGACGGCATTTAAAAGAATACATCTCCTAGTGAAAGCAGAGCTGTGACAACTCTGTGGTTTAGCATTCTGGTGTTAACTAGGCATTTGAGTTTTGCTAGAGGTACTTTGAATAGATGCTCCAGCTACAACTTGTTCTTGTACAGCTACTACTCTTTCTTGTGTGAAAAATCTTTCTAGAAATGAGTGGGTATATGTATTACATTTTGGGTGTGATGTTCTGGAAAGTAAGAGATAAGTGAACCATTTTGGCTTTTCACATCAACTATTAATAAATTAAAGAAGGAAAACATTTTACTGCATTAAATATGTTCCCCAAGCTGCTGTAACTGGGTATTTCTACAGTTTAATATTCTACAGCAAGTGCTGTAAACAACTGCTTTTTTGCCTACTGAAAGGAGGAGTCTTAAATCTGAGGCTGCTCTTACTAAAACCTGATTTTGGAAAAGAGGCCTGAAAGGGCTTGATAACACACTTATTTAGTCTGACTTGAGACATACTGTGGAAATCAACATCTGACCTCCACAGTTTCTAAAAATAGCCACCTTCTTTTCAACTGAGGAAGTTTCCTCCATTCAAAATCTTGCTTGCCTGATGGAAACCACACTTCAATATTTCATATCTCTGCTGCACATAGCCAAAGAATGGACAAGGAGTGGAAAGTCCATCCTGTGCTTTCAGCCTTGTAGTCGCAGCATTTTTTATTCATAAACTCAACTGCCTGACTTTATCTTCAAAGAACTTTCCCCCAGATGCCACACAAAGTAGCCAGTGGGCAAATACTGAAAGGTCAACAGTTGCTTCTCTAAATTCCTTGCTGTGAACACGTACCAAGGATAGTTTTGTGCATTTCCAAAATGGACTTTCAGTTACCAAGACATCTCAAGGAATGGAAAGAATATGAAGAAAGTGGGTGAATCGACATTTATGGTGTCTTTCTGTGGCATGACAAATTTCAATGGCTGCCTGCCCTCTATCAGCATACCAAAATTTGTTTAGACAAAATATTATTTAAATGAAAAAGTCCTATCTTTTTACTGAAGACCAAAAAAATACTGTCAATTTGATTTTTGGCAAGTTCTCTAATTTGGTTTTGAAAGCAATTCTGATCATCTTCCAAAATTAAGACAGAACCTAGCTATCGGCTTCCAAGATTATTGCTTTCTTTGTATAACTGCTAGAAAATAATTAGCAAGATACACATGGCAATGCACACAACACAGTCTGTATTTTCTTCATTTTGATTGGCACCACAACCACAGTAGGAAACATCCAGGTCTTGTGAATACTAAAGTTGAGAAGACAGCTGAGTTGTCTTTAGTGTAATAGTGTAGTAAGCACAGTGAATTTCATACAAAGAAAGGAATTTGGCAAACATAAGACCTCTTTAGAGTGCTGCAATTGCACCGGTAGAGAAGCACAAGCAGAACACTACTACTGAAAACCACTAAAAGAAAAAATGCAAGTTATTAGTGAAGAGGAAAGGCCATGGCAGTAAAAAGTTAAATGCTTGATAAGAATTTACCAGACTTGACAATTACAAGGCAACTAAGAAAATTATGACCTTTGTTCTCCCACAACCACTTTTTCAAAAGAGCCAAAATTAAAAATTGCTTCTGAGTAGCTGTGAAACTAAACCCACAACCCTGTTCTTCTACAAAGACATGATACCGCACTTACCAACTGGACTGGTACCAGCTCCATTTGGCACTGTGAGGTCAGTTGTCCCCAGCATTCCACCTAATAAAAACAAGCCAAAGCATTAGACTAACTTGCCATCACTACAGCGCCGTATCATTCCGTAGTTCAAAACGTAAGCCGTTAAAAAAAAGAAAATGCACTGATACCATTAAAAACTTGTAATTTCGTGTTTGTTTGTGGAGGGATTTTAACTAACGCGAGGGTATGAAAGGAAAGCACAACAGTACTGAAACATTACCTGCGTTGCCAGTACTCGGTGGTCTCTGCGGGGCCCCAGGCGATACGTTCCGGTGCAGGGTGGTCTGAGGAGGGGAGAGCATGGTCGTGTCCGTTAACGATGAACTGGCTGCCAGGGATGGGGATACGAGGGAACTCCCTGGGTTACTGTAGGTTAAAGTGTTGGGATTGGACACTGGAACTGTAACCGACATCGAGAAGTTCTGAGCAGGCAGGCCAGGCTGCAGAAAGAGGACAAAGAACACACATAAGACAACAACATTAGCATTAACTATATCTGCAGAAACAGCACGTTATAAAAACACACATTAAGGTTTGCCAAGAATTACTCAGGTTTAAAAAAAAAAAGTTAATTATGTTAGTTTTTAAACTCTATTAAGCATACAACTTTAAAACATCCATTTGTTGTAGCGTACGGCGTTATACTCTTATACATCATACAAATACAGCCCCAAGTACTGAAAGTTCAAATACAAAAAATTAAAGATACTCATATGAATTCACAAGCTGGGAAATACAACAAACTTATCAGTTAATCTGGATTATTACAAAGCAATGACAAGCTAAACGTATCTACAAATCAGTGAACTGTGGCACCTTCAAAATGTAGGCATAAACATGCACATTATAAAACAGTTATTACACAGAAAAGAAAGTTAGTAATAACATTTTATATGCATAGCCTTCCCAAATAGTACTAATAATCTCTAAAACTTTTTGAACAGACTAAAAAAAGTGAGCAGATCTTTAGAAATTCATTAAGTTCAGTATTCTGAATCTAAACATTTCAACTGTCATTATTCTGAGCTGGGTTCCCTGCTTGAATAACCACCCCAAGTTACTTTTCTGCAAATCCCCCTTTTTTTAAATGCCAAGTTTTACAGCATTATTTAAAAGGCAACTATATATATAATGTTTGTTATTCAACAACTCCTTGAATCAAAAGCTTAGATGCCTGCCCATCTATGGTACTCATTTGGTTATGACTAACTTCTTCGGCCTTTGTCTCATTCCTATCCTTTGACAGTGATGAGCTGCTGAAACAAAAGGGACTATTTTTCTTTCACAACTCTCATAATTACTGGAAACAAAACCATGACAGGTACAATTTAAGGGTAAAATTTCAGTAGCATTTATTGACAGAATAAATAGTTTTGAATTAGAGGTCAAATGCAGATGACAAACATTCACGACCCAGCAAATATACTTAAAAAGATGCACTTTTGTCATGTGCCGCTTAAAATTCACTTATAACGATACCTCTGTACAACAATTTTGATATTAGAATTACAACAATAACTATACTAATTAAAACAGCATAAGACATTTTCTATGAGAAATCAAACCACTTAGTAGTGAGAGCCAGTGACAGCGTCCCCACTGAGGCATTCCTAAGAATAATTATCAGTTTTTGGCACAGATGAAGGAAAAAGTAATGAAGCAGAGCAATGTAATGCTAGCAAATCATTCACAGTATCTAACTAATGACGAGCTGTACTGGTATTTGTTTTCACAGGAAACCACTTCAAGAAACTATTAAACATCTAGAAAACAACAGGTTGGTTTTAAACAGCATGCTGTCAAGTAACTCAAACTAAACTTGAAATACCTGGCTTGAATCAATCCCAGAAGCCAACATTTGGAACACTGTTTTCTGGAGATTTCTCAATACAGAACTAATAAATGACAGCTTCCCCCCACACCTTAGAATAAAGGCTGTCTCTGCCCATCTATGGTACTCATTTGGTTACGACTGAATTCTTCAGGCTTTTGCTCATTCAAGTCCTTTCACAGTAATGAGTGCACTAGAACAAAAGAAACTATATTCTGACACAGAGCCAGAAGTACTGGAAATAGAGCCACAACAGGTCAAATTTAGGCTATAAATACAGGACTGTAAAGCTAAAAAATAATGTTGCCCTTTTTATTTACACCAATGTTCACACAAACAGTTTCGGCTGTTGGTGAAGACCACAGAAAATCAAGGGAGAGCAGTTTATAACTGCATCACACTGAGAGAGGAGGCCTGAAGACACCTCAGCACAGAAAAGCTGGACATCAAAAGCTTCAAAACAAAGCAGGAACAAAATACATTGGCTTCGTTCAAGCCTACAGAACTTGCTAAAAGAAGTCGTACTGGGTGTCATGGCTGTCAGTTTGCTGTTAACTCCCCAGAGATGGTCTTACTGCTCTGAACAATGAAATAATTCCTATCATCAGCAAGTCATTTGGGGACACCCTACTCAATTACCCCAGGGTCTGTGCCGATTAACCTAGCCAGCCCGTTTACTTTAATTGCTACAAGATTCACAACGTTAAAAGACTCAAAGGCTGTGGCAGAGCCCTGTATTAGTTTTCTTAGAAAATACTTCCCCTGTAATACTCAACACTACTTGGTTTTTTGTAGATGGAAATTAAATGTCATTAAAAACATGCGAAATTTACGCTAGTTATCCCCAAACTTCTTGAGTTCAGGGATCTTTTGAGGCTCCCACTGTGCACCAGTCTTTATCTTTGAACATCTTCATACCTTTCTACATCCAGTTTCCAGCGAAATAAAATTCCACTGATTTGATGAGCCAAAATTAAACCAAATCTATTTGCCTGCTTGTAACATATTGTAAAATTTTGATTAACAGGCAGATAAAGAGCTACAAGATGTAAATAAACTATCCTACATCCCACGCCAAAATCTATCTTTATAAAAATATTTTAGGTAGGATTAGGCAATGCAGCTAGGCTCCTGAAATTTAGAGATGTTACCTCATGTTCATAAGGTATGAAAAACTGTGCAGGGGAGAAGCTTGACCTAAGTCGTCTTATTCTTTAAGATAAAAACTATTTAACAAGATCAAGTATCAGCATCTCCTTTTTTCCTCAAAAATCCCTATTTCCTTTCCAAACCATTACATCCTCTTGTCAGTGGTTTTCAGTGGTAAGCAAACACTGTGAAAATTCTCATGCACGTAATAGAAGCACAAACCATACTTTAGTACTCACTGCGATTTTATGATTCCGCATCATATTATCAAACTCTTCATTAATTTTTTTATATTTTTCTTCTGTATGTGGCGTGAGCACATATGAAGTGTCAGGGTCCGGGCTGTCGCACCCTCTGTGTTCCTTCTTGTTCAGAGCCTAAATAATGAAGTTAATAAAAAGGATCAACAAATAAAAAGTAGAGATAAAATAAAAGTACTTACAGGGCCTCGCTTGAAAATAAAATCACTATCTTCATTTAGTTTGCTGAATCTGTCCTCCGATAGTGGACTGTGCTCAAAGTAATCGTCTGCATCAGGGCTCTCACAACCATTAAGGCCTTTCTTTCTTAAGGTCTGAAATACAATTGGAAAATTCACATACAAATCATACTAACTCGCCAGGAAGTTTTGTATACTACCGAATCATTCAGAGCCACTGAAACGACATGAAACTTTCACAGGCAAAACTCACTGCTCAACAGACAGGCTTCGTCTTTCAAAACAGTGGCATAGTACACAAAGAGAAAGGTTCATTCAGAGGCACAGACTCTCCCAGGTAACTTTAACCTACACCCACCTCACCTCTCCAGCGTTACAAGCAAAACTGTTTTCAGACAGCGGCTGGTGGAGTAAAGGTGCCTGACACAGGAGGAACATTCAAGCCTGTGGCAAAGGAGTTAATGCCATCCCGTTTGCTGGATCTTTACTAACTTCATCTTGCCATCCGGACTTTAATATTCCCATTTTAAGGAGCGTACAGTTAAACTCTGAGAAAAACAGTGGCTAAAATTTTCCATCAAATTCAACCGCAGTACATTAACATATGTAACTTAGTTAGGAGTTTATAAAGGCAGGATTTTCCTGCACTTCTGTCATCCTGCAGGATAACAAGAGTTGCAAGAAAGTATAAAAAGAAATGACATAATCCCTCTCTAAAATGATTTCGTTCACTAAGTATAATTTTTTTCAGACTCCTTTAGACTAACTTGATGCAACTGCTTTATTGGGCTACTTCCTGTTTTCTGATGGAGAACTCACACCAACATCCCCTGGAAAAAAAAAAAAAACCAAACTTGTCTACAATCTCGGCATTACAAACAAGCTACTGAAAGAAAGGATGTGAAACTACGGGTCTTGTGGCCACATTTTGAAAGACACTTGCACTCCTTGTTGTTTTTCTTCTTCACCCTATTACACAATCAGAAATCTTTCTCTGCAAGTTCCCGTAACAAGATTTAAAATATTTCCTATGGAAAAATCTTTAACGTTAAAAAAAAGTTCCAAAAGGAAAGCAACAAAACCAAGTTCACTTTAGCAGCACACAGGGCAGCAGTTGGATAATACCAGCATGAGTGGGGGCTGTGTGTTTTCTTTCGGAGAGAAATTATTCATAATTGAAGAATTTTACACTAAAAACCCTGAAGATTTGAAATCTGCAAGCTGAGGTTCTCAGCACCATAAAAAAATGGATATCTATTAATTTTAGTACAATAAAAGGTACACAGGACGCTCTCACTATTCATCTAAATGCAAACCACCGCCTATTTCTACTTCACTTTTAAAGCAGTACTTGAAAAATTCAATTACGCCGGTCTGAAATTCTTTAATATCACAGGTCACCATAAGCTGCAATTCCTTCTCAAGTTTCTTGGCTTGCTCCGCGTATCCCACACAGTATCTGGAACTCCCACAAAAATGTAATCACTAAATCAGCATATGGGGAAAACAGGTGTAGGCTCCTCCGACACCTGTCACGGCACTGATCCTGCGCCTCTAACCAATCAGCTGGGCACGTATATGGACTTGGCCATACAAGGGCCGGCTCTTCGGCCTCTCAAGGTCGGAGCCTGTTATCCGTCTCCCAGCCCTTCCTAACAAGTCAGCCTGCCACTCTTCTACACTTGGATATCAGCAGGGAAAATGTTAACACTGTATAATCTGGATTACACTTAACCCCTGCAACCCACAGAATTCCCTAAATAGAATCCAAGTGTGTCTCTACGTGGTGCTCAGCGTCAACAAGCCCGAGCCACGATTAGAAGCTGTATTTAGATACCGTAAAGAACGATCTTGCAGGAAATGCACATACTGCCTCGTTCACCTCCTTTGAGGCAAACGTTCAGAGCGGCTTTACGGATTGCAGCCTGGAGTTTCCTTAGCGCTCCTTTCAATATTCTGTAACAATCAAGTCAGAGCTTTTAAGCGTAATGCTGCCAATTCATCCTCCTGGATCTGTCTGAAAATGATACTCTCAGTCCTATTACAGAGGAAGAGAAGTAGTTAAGTATAAAAATGCATCCTTCCTCTTGGCGACCGATTATTTTTGTTTGTGATAACAATGGGGTTAACTCTGCTTTGACTCATGAGGAAGGAAAATGCCTCAGTATCTCCCGTTTACGATTCTGGAAACCTTCACTCCAGATGGGGTTCCTGTCATTGTGGAAGGATTTAAGCCACAGTTCACTGTTACAGATAATAAGTCTGGGTCTGATATCCAAAGCTCTGTCTCTTTATCACTAAAGCACGAACTGCCACTTGGAGGACCTAACCATAAAAAGACTGCCAACTTTATCATCGCCCAGTAACGTAACAGTAAAACAGCTCTGCCCCGCGGCTCCTGCTACCCAGCAGAATGCTGTAATCTGTTCACACGGCCAGGCGAAGCCTACGCGAGACAGCCCAGCCTCAGCTTTCTCACAGGCCACAGAGCGAGGCATGCTAACAGGCCCTTGCCCAAGGGAAAACAAGGACGGCCACGGCTACTGGGAATCGCTCTGTGGGGACGCAGGAAAGGCAAAGTCCATAAACAAGTGCTGACTCCACCCTCGAGCTTCTCTAGAGCTAACATTTGTTATTTCTCCCTCCCTGAGCTATTTCCAAGATAATAAAACTTCAGTCTTCACAATAATAACTCTGAAGATGGGGTAGGGCTAGAGACAAAATGCCAGTTAGTGAGTCCAGATAATATTTGTGTAAGAGTTTAATTTCTCTGCTGTGATACACAAGCTTGTTTAGAATAAAACCAGAGCTTTTGCAGTTGAGGCTAATAAATAAAGAACATACATTTTCTTAGTACAAGAGGGGAAAAGAACATTAAAGTTTTGCTATTGGATGCTCACTGCCATTAACTTCTGGCGTTAAGTCTGGATTTTCATCTAAGGGAATGCATAGCCTTCTGAGTTAATCTGAATTACTTTCCACTTCCTCTAAGACTTACCCAAAATGAATGGAAATTATTCCAACCAACACACTGTACTGTGCCTTCTGTAACTAAGATAGTGCATGTTTGATATTAGACTGGATTAACTAAGCGATGAGAGCAAAGTACTGTTTTTTGTCAGAAAATAATGCAGGTATTTATAACGAACCAAGGCAGGTAGGAAATCTTTTTCTAAAAGAATGAAGCATCCACAACAATATAGCTGTGTGACATTCAAACGCACTACACCAGTGTTCCAGATAGCTGCGGTCATCCTGATATTACAGAATGACCCAGAAGTTTTAAATTGCTTTGGTTCCACTGTGTAAAAATGAAACATGCCAATTTTGTAACAATTAGTTTAATATTGATTTTTTTTTTTTTAATGGCAGATCATGAAAAAACAGTCTGAGAACGGCTGGACTAGCTGACAGGTTTAAATATTACATTCAAGCACATGGTGCAAGAGCCCCAATATTTTCCTGAACTTCCCCACGCATATGCAAAATACTTTTTAATTGTACCGCATTTTGCTAATTTTAAGAAAAGGATCATGCCTTGGCAAGATGCATCTAAGGAACAGAAGCAGGGCTTCTTGCAAAACAACAATAAAAAAAATCAGCTTCTCTCTACAATTCACCATAAATTTAACTGAAACCAATAATACAGATAACAAGAGAGTACAAAAATACAATAAAATAATTTATTGTATGACCATTGAGGAAGCAAAGAGGATATTCAACCATCACAGTGTAATTATCTCAGCATAAGCTTCTTCCCACAAATTCCAACAGAGCAACATGAAATGCAGGAGCTTTGAGCCTGCTGGGTCTCCACAGGGTGAAAGCAAGTCACCCCCTTCTCCAAGGCTCATTCCAGCCCAGCTGCACGCAGCTTCCCTCACACAAACTTACGCTGGCTCCATATACTGGTCATCAGCAGTTCTGGAAACCAGAAACTCTGAACTAATGAACACAGATTCCTGCTACCAGAGATGAAGTGACAACCCCAACTGTCCTCCTCCCCGCGGTAGAGCCTGGTTTTCATATCCGACTCTGAAAGAGCATGTTACTAATGGTTAAAAGCACACAATCAGCAGGTTTTGCGCTCCGATTCAGTGAGTGTGGCAAAAAACAAGACTTCTGATATTAGTGACCTGGGCTCCTTACCAGCTCTGGCAAAACTGTAGAGAACTGGGTCACGTTCACTGTCACCTCAGGAAATAGTATTTTTCTGCCTTGAAGCACCAAAGTTGGATGACCTCATATGTAAAAAGTGTTATGATGTGCAAAAAAACTATCAGTTCATTCAAAACAGTTTCAGTGTTGGGTTTCTTGTCATACTACACAAAAAGGAAATGATTGTTGCTGTCAATGCTGCTGCCTGCCCTGTTAACCACTCTATTTTTGCACTTACTACTGGAGCTGGTCAAACAGGATTTTTGTTGGTGTTTCATCCCAAATCACAAAGAAAAAGATTTCCAAAATTTGACTGTGAAACAAAAAGTGATTTCCACTGGAAATGGAAAATGCAAACCTTTCACTTAATACCAGTGGGTAGTTCTGCTGCTGCGGGCAAAGCACCGAAAAGCTGTGAGGCAGCACAAATTTGGAGCAAATGCTTTTTAAAAAATTGTATTTTTAGGAAGTGTAAGTGTTCCTCAGGCCGGATGTAATGGAAAGGCTCCTCTAGTATTGCCAAATATTACTGTTGCTCCGGTAGTCACGTAACACCATGGCTATCAAAAGGAGAGCCAATTAAACAGTCTCCTGATGCTCTAGAGGGCTGCCACGCAACAGGGAAGAGGGAGAAGACACTCCTGCCATTTGCATCATGCTCCAAAGGCTCCTCATCCACAAACGCAGCCGCCAAGCACTCGCGCAGCTCTGCGCAGGCAGGACGGGACTGAGCATCACTTTGTCATCCGTGATGGGAATAAAGGTGAGATCACTTAGGCGCAGGGTTGTGAAGTTGCAAGCTCACACCAATAAAATGAACAAGTCAGTACTGTCAGCCCAGTGCTCGGGAACAAAGAAAATAATTCCTAAAACAGTGATCCAAGGAGAGCTGAGAGCTGTATTGTATCCTTCCGGATCAGTCTCACATTCCATCCCTGTAGATGATTACAGAGATCCATGCTTTCAGGTTATCCCCA